TCCATGTTGAATTTCATATCAGGGAATCCTCAGGCATTTATGTGCCATGATTTGTGTTAATGCATTTTAATAGTCACTAACAGAACTGCATCCCTGGCATTTCTGGTTTTACTTTTCTGCAGCGTGGAGTATCATTATGAAGTTTGTGCTCCATGCAAATGGACAGAGGGGATTAGCAGTCACTCTAGCAGCTGGGAGAGAGCCTAACAGACACAGGAGTTTTGATGTATTACATCTCTTTCTTTTAAAGGGAGATTGTCACATTGTCCCTGTGAATCTTCTAATATGCTGCATGCTCAGTAGAGTGCACCAGGGGCCAGCCTGAATATTTAGGTGCTTTAAAATGTGCTTGTTCTGCTGTGATTGATACTTGCTGAGAGATAATGTTGCAAATGGTGCATTCTCTTCACTTCTGCTTTTCATTTGGTTTTTCTACCCTCTGGTTTTTCTGTAAGCCTAACTAGTGAGCACAAGTTGAATTTCACCATGCCATCTTTAAAAGACCCTTGTTGAATGAGCCAATGCATATTTACATTTGCTGAGGTTTCAGAATGTTGCCATAGATACAGGTTTAATCACGGAACAGGTCAAATTTTATTGTTTTTGAGAGATAAATGGGTAATCTCATCTGAGTGAAAAGCAGTTTTGATTGGCTCCTCTGCCGCTGCAAAATTCTTGCTGGAGCTGTGTATAATAACAATATATTTGTGTCATAGCCACAGTGATCTGCAAAAGAAATATTTCCCAAAGTGGAAAAGAGAGCTTGTATTTTCTAATTGTGTGGTAAAAGAGTCTATTTGGAAATGAAATCTTAAAATGTATGTTTTCTTCCAAGGGAAACATTAGTGGTAGAAAAGTGGGTGGTGGAGACTTGGCAAAGATTGAGAAAAAATAGTGTGTTCCTGTGAGAGCTGCTTTGGAGCCCTTTTCATGTGGTGCTGGGAGGCACGAGTCTTTCCAAGATCCCACACTGTGCTCAGAGCACACTGCCTGCAATGTGCTTTTCTGCAGCTCGTGGTTACAGAATTGAGTAAGTGATGGACCTGTCTGTCCTTTTCTGCATATACCTGGGACTGAAAGGTAAGAACTCATCAGTGAGGAGCCCAGCCCCTTCACAAGGACCTGCACACTCAATTTTCTTCCTCATGGAACATGAGAAAACATTTCACATATTGCTGGCGATACAGTAGCAGATTATTTGTGCGCACAACATACAGACCAAGAGTGGTCGTGGTGGTTTCCTCTGTGTGAGCGGCTCAGCTGAACGTGGGGGCACCTGCATTCACTTGCCTATTGATCCCTCCTTGCTGAATGGCAGGGTTCTTCCCCAGTATGGAAAAGGAGATATCTGCCAAAGGAAAATGTTGGCGTTTGTTTTGGTTTTTTTCCTTGGCTGCTTTTTCTTTGGCTTACTTCTTCATGAATTCCAGCATCTGGCTAAGGGTCATTGTCAAAACTAATCCATGTGCCGCCACTCTCTCTGTTTTTAAGGAGTTGGACATCTCAGCACAGATAGTTGTTGCAGGACACTCCAGTGGAGATGAAGGACCCTGGATTCCAGGATCATGATGGGAACAAGGCTCTTCTACCACTGGAGTAGCAGGAGCATGACCCACACCCTCCGCAGCTGACATCCCAGGCTGAACTGACTGTCCCATCTCACCTATGTGACTAACAAAACAAGCAGAGCTGTGCAGCCTCAAAGCACAGCTGCATGATGCATGGGCCAGCATCTCCATCCAGGGAAAACAGCAAAAGGCCACAACCCTGTGGTGGCAGTTTACACCCCAGCGTTGAGGCTGGAGTCCTCTCCAGCATGAAAGCAACACAACATCATGGAGAAATGACTGCTCTCTGCTTTTTCTCAAGCTGAGGGTGCAGTCTGTGTCCACAGTTGCCTTTTGTCTGAGAGGTCAGGGTTCTAAAGAGGTATAAGTCTTTCAGCATCTGCAGTGTGCCTCACTCCTTTCCTCTGGCAGCCCGGGTGTTTAACCCAGTAAGAAAGATGGGACCACAAAGGTGGACTTATTTCCCTGTTCCAGCTTATAGTTCCACTGGAGAAACCTTTTGGTGCATACAAGCAGGCAGGCAAAAGGAGTCACTCTGAAGAAGACAGCAATGAAAAGGGAGGCTTGGAGGGATATGGTCAGTGTTGGCAATGTGTTGAGCCAGGCCTGTCCCTCTCTGCTGTCACTGTTTTTCTCCTAAAGATAGGGAGAGTGTGGGCTTGGGCCTCCCTTAGGGTAAGAAGGAGCCACACATCACCATGTGTTCAATGTGGAGCTCAGCCCTCACCTAACAGCAGCAGCAACCTGGGGCCCTAGGGAGCTGGACAGATGGGGCTTAGCACCCCTCAGTTCGGCATTAAACAGTCCCTTTCTTGATCTTGCAGCCAAAACGGGCAGAGCCCTGGGAAATGCCTGAAGGTGTCCCCAGGGCTATCCTCTCTGGGATGCCAGGGTGGTCCCATGTCACAGGCATTGTGGCTGGACACATAGCTGGGAGGCTGCTGCAGAGCTGGGGCCATCCCTGTCCCCCTTTGGGAGCTGTTCCCTTGCTGCACAGCACCTGTGGTTGGTCTCTGTCCTTCAGTAAAGTGATGTGTGTCCCTCCTGCAAGGGCTCTCCTTGCCCTTGGTCCTGGGAGATCATTTGTGGGTTTGGTCAGTTACCTGCTGCTATCAGGGTGAGTACAGATTGGCACCTCAGGTCCTGTAACATCATAGGGACAGACCCCAACAGAGGCATGTCAAAACCATAAGGTAATATAAAATCCAGCCTAGTCCTGTTTGGTGTATCCTACATGCCCAAATCCTTTCCCTGCCTGTTGCCCCTCTTCCACCTTTGGAGCTTAGCACCATAACACTGCAGAGCTCCAGAAAGAAATGCAGGAAATCCCTGAGCTGGTCCTTGCACTGCAGATGTTTTCCAAAATAGTTCCCTGTCCTCCCTGCAGCTCCTCCACCCTCCTCCGCAACTGCAGCCCCTTTGGATTGGTATCAACAAAGTAAAATTCCCAGCTCCATTCCCAGCTTCATCCAGCCAGCTGAGCAAGCAGGAATCCTGACGTAGGCTTGTGCTGGGAACAAAGGATAGGTGAGGCTGCCTATGCTCAAGAGACAAAAAGCAGCAGTGCTGGAGAGTGTTTGACGTTCAGAATATATTAGATGCACAGTCACATCTGATTTTTATTCCCCATATGGTTTGGGAAGAATGCTGTGTGTTTGCATTTCCTAACTGACAGCTGGGCCAGGAGATGTCTGGAGGATTCTTGGTCCTGGCATTATGTGCCAGTGCCTTGGACTTAACTCTGCAGGTGCTGGTGCCTCCGAGCTCTGCCTGGGCACCTCAGGTTGCTCTGTGCTGTTTTGCTGGAGGCTGCTGGTGGGCTGCACTGCTCCAGCCATGCCCTGAGCCCCCTCCCCAACTTCAGAAGGTGCCCTTTGCTTCACCCACCCACAGGGCTGCTGACCCCAGGGCTGTGTGACCCACAGTGAGCAGCCTCACCAGGGCCTCGTCCCCAAGGTTGTTGGTGTGACAGGGTCAAGGCACACAGCTGCACTGCTCCTGGCCTGCAGCACTAGTGGAGAAGCCTGTGACTGTCACACTGTCTCTCTGGTGCTCTGAGGCAGATTGCCATGACACGGTGTGACAAAGCAGGACTGGAAAGGCAGTGGGACAGTGTACTGCTGGCAGGGCCTCCCAGTGAGAAGCTGCTGTGGTCTTTCCCTTTGCAGGCACATCTCAAGCAGAGCGTGGGCATCTTCCAGATATAAGCTGGTGCTGGTCACAGCAGCTCTGTGGGCATCTGTCGCTGCTGGGTTTACTTGAGAGGTGGGTGCACCCTCCCTTCTTCCACTTGCTATTGTGTAAATCACTTTATCTTCACTTGTGCAGGCAAACTAAGCAGCTGTTTCTAACCCCTGAGCACACAGCAGAGTAGAGAGGAAATGATGGGTATCTCCGGACTGAACTGTCAGGAGTGTGATGCAAACCAAATCCTCAGAGTCCATTTTCTGGGCAAATGAGGATGTGCTTGGCCATGGCAGACCTTGATCCCTCAGCCAACTGGCCACGAACTCCTCCACAAAGCAGGACCACTGTGACAGGCACCTGGGGTGAGCCCCAGATGTGTCCCACTGCCAGTGTTGGGACCAGCATCACCTTCCAGCCCCAGCAGCAGGGGCTGGCAGCTGCACCCTGACACCAAGCTCTTTGCAGATAGACTGCTGGGCACTGAACTAACTGTGGGACAGACACCAAGGTATGTTCCTGAGGTGAAGCAGCAGCAAAGACGACAAAACAGCTCGGTTTGATCCACACAGCTACTTCTCTTTTTTTAATGATTAACTTTTTTTGAGTGTGAGCAAACAATTTGCTGGTTCCAGGAACTGCTCTGGCACCGCCGTGAGGGCAGTGAGGTCTCGTGATGATAACCTTGCCAGGGCACTGACACGCAGCACACACACACGGAGTCTCCGGCTCTTGCGATAAAAGCGATTGCTGGCAATTTAAGGCATTGAAGGAAACCTATGATTGTTGAATCCTATATCAAATTTGGCACATGTTGGACAGTTAGAGCAGAGACAAAGATGCTTTGCGGGCTGGTGTTCAGAAGTCCTGCAGCTTCCCAGTGCCAGCTGGGGCACGATGCTAATCTGGACTTGGGCTTTTCATGTGAAGAGTGTGCAGCCAGACGTGGTGCCCTCAGATCCTGATGTTTTGGAGCCAGTGACACCAGACGAGGTGCTGTGCCCCACAGCATGGTGGTGCCTTCATGTCTGATGTACCGGTTCCCTCCCTGCTCTGTGCTTGCTGCTTTTAAACCCCGTGTGCCTGGCTGGACTACTGCTTCCAGAAAACGAGAGTTGTCAGGGCAAAAAAAACTAACATTCCTTATAGTTCAAAACATACGTGGCTCAGACCAGATATCAGGTGTGGATTGCCATCTAGTATGGCTATTTCTGTGCTTCTAGGAGTAAAAGTGAATGGCTACAGCTTGAGCAGTGGGGAAGAGTTTAGCTGTACATGGATTTGGATAGTTAATGAAGGTCTGTGGCCTTGAAACTAGTTATAGTAAACACTGAGTTGTTTCCCTCCCCTCCCCAAAGTGCTGGCTCAGCAGCAGTCCCAGCTGCTTCCCCCTTGCCCACCCCGGGGAGGAGGCAGGGAGGGTGCTATGAGTCCACGTGCCCCCACCACAATAACCAACATGCATCTAGCTACCTGCTGTGCCTCCACCCCATTTACAAGGGAGCAATGTGCCAAGCTCGGCCTCTGCGTGACAGGACCCACAAGGAAGCCACTCCTGGGTTGGTGTCCCCAAGGGGGTTTGTGTTTCTAGGAGGGCTTCCTGTGAGCACAGTGTGGGTTCATGCCCAGAGGAGCTATTTAAAGGCCGAGTGGAGACTGTTCCCCCTCAAATGCATATAAACTGGGTCCCAATGGTTACATTTTTGCATTTGCAATGATGCCTCCATGCAAGTTTAACCTCCCTCTTTTCTTAACAGAGGTTATGGTTCCCTCAATCACCTCAGCCCTGCTGGATGATATTTTGGAGGTCACTTTAATAACCTCTCCTTGCTCCTCCTCCTTGAAGGACAGAGTGGAGGAACTATAGCTTCTTGGCTGGAAGGAGTAAGTGGGGCTGGGGAGGGAATTGAGTGCTGGAAGGCCGACACTTCCCATGTTGAAGAGGTTCTCTTCTCCCTCCAGCAGCTTCCTGCAAATATATCACAAGGGAAGAGGTTAGTCTGGGGATGTGAAACATCTGCAAAACTTGAGGATATGCTATGCCCTGCAAGCAAGTCCAAGCACTACAGGCCATGACCACAGGTCACACTGCACCATGAAACTGGTTCAAAATCATATTTTGGTCAATCGTTTCTGGAGCACTTGCAATATGGGGTACATGAGAGCAACTCTGTCCTCTCTCCAGACAGGAAAATAAATACCCGAGCCACAGGGACTTGGACCCTTGCATCTACTTTGACTTTTCAAGAGAGAAAAGTTTCCAACCCCAATTGTTCCCATTAAAAACCACCGCTTCTGCGATGTCTGGGGGACATGGTTCAGAGCTGCTAGATCAAGGAATGACATGGAGCCATGGCTGCTCCCCAGGCAGGAGCACAGCAGGTTCAGGCAGGGCAGATGAGCAACACAATTGTGGTGCTCCTTGAATGTGTACCCAGGTATTTTCTGGGCACTTGAAAATACCCCAGCCTGGTGGGATCAGGAGTTTGGGCTTGGGAGGTGGCCACGCAGAGCATGAATAGAGCAGCCTTACCTGTAGGCAGCTATCTCAATGTCAAGGGCCATCTTGACATTGAGCAGGTCTTGGTACTCCCTCAAGTGTCGAGCCATCTCATTTTTAGTGTTTCGCAGGTCATCCTCCAGCTGCCCAATGGTGTCCTGCAAAGACAAGGGCACTCAGGGCCGTGTTTTGGTCTTCTCCCAGAGGTTTTCTGCTCCGACCATTGCAGAGACAGGGAGTTGCAATGGGCAGTTGGTTCACGATGGCACATCCCATCAGGAGATTGGGACCATGAAATCTCATGCTAACAGAGCCAAAGAAGCAGGCATGGCTTGTGAGTGTGTGTGGTGGGAGATGCTTGAGACATTGATGGATTTATGCAGTTTCCCATCTGCAGCAGAGTCTGTGAGACAGGGGCAGATAGAGCATGGTGGTGGAACCCCCAGTCCAGAAGGCAACAAGGCAGGCTGCTACAGAGGGAAGGGATTTTGGGGCATAAACATCATCAAAGCAGAGGAGATGGCTCAATGGCACAAGTGAGAGCACCCAGCACTGCAGCAGCAGAGAAGAATGGCTGTAGTCTGCATCTGAGGGGCTTAAGAAGGGTTGTACATGCCTTCGGGTGGTGGAAGGAGAGGTGGTGCTGCCAGGGCTCCCTCCAGGAGGGGAAGTCTGATACTTATCCCAGAAAATGCCACAGAGCCCCAGGGTGGGGTGCTCTGAATGCAGGGATTTGCCAGGGTTACAGAGTCAGGGGCCTGCCCTGCAAGAGCCAGGGTGCTCAGCTGGACAATGGCATCATTGGAGCATCCTTTTCATCAGCTTTTCCCTGCCTTTTGCCCCCTGTATCCAGTTCTACCTACAATATGGAAGACTCCAATGCCAGATTTCCTGCTAACATGAGACTAATCTCTTTTCCTATTTTTTTGTCAGAAAACAGCCTGGCTTTCTCCCACATGCATCCAGGTATCTAAGCAGCAGCCTGAAAGCAGTGAAACACATTCCTTTAAGGTTCTTCTCAACCACAATGTTTCCAGCTGCTCCACTGTGCCACCAGAGGAGTGTGATTTGGAACTGGAATGAGTCAGCAGTTTGCATTGAAGTTCTGGTGTAGCCCTGCCTGCAAATCCTGCAATGGCCACTGCCAACCTCTCCCACACCCGCTCCTACAGCCAGGCCTTTGCGATTGCTTCCAGATCCTCTGTTCCAGCAAACGATCTTTGTCCTGCAGATCTTGTCCCTGTCCTCATTCCCATCATGTCCCCTCCTTCCTGTCCTGCATAACCTTCCTTGTGGACAGTGCAGAGATAGACATGAGACATGGAGCTGCCAAGCTGTGCTGACCCTGATGCAGTGAGCCCAGTCTGAGCAGAGCCCCTCGGAGAAGCAGTGACAGCCTATCCTGAATGTGATGCAGTGCATCTCACAGTCATGTTAGCTGGGCACATCCAGCCTTGCGTGACATTTAGGGGCCATTCTTGGGGTCTCTGCCTTGACTTGTGCTGCCCTGACCATATTGCACAGCAAGAGAGCTGCATGAAGCTGTGCCTCAGAGATCACTGGGGAATCAAGTGAAAAGCCTCAGGACATGCACAGATGCTGCTGCTGTGCATCTTAAAACCTCTGCTCCAATGCAGACAGACTTCTGCTGCACTGAGCCATGACAGCAGGGAGGGACATGAGGTGAACCCACCCCAGGACAGCTCCACCCTTGCTACTGTGACCCTCTGTGCCTTCAGCCCCCTTCCCTCTGCCGGCAGTCTGCATGAACAATAAGCTCTTTTGAAATGGATTATCCTTGTTACCCTGTCTGCCCCTCTCTTCTACACCCCAGCTCTACCAGCTGGTTGAATAAAAACCCCTTCCCACACCATTGCAAACCTGTCCCCTAAAGGAAAGCACTCACATATTGGTTCAAATTTGACCAAGCACCCTACAAATATAAAGACATTCCCCTGCTTTAGCAGTCTATAGGAACATTTTAAAAGCTCAGACAAAAGGCATATTCTCTTTTAAGACACACTTCCATCCTTTTCCAGTGGTTGCAGCCAGGGAAATTATTTAGCTATTACACAGACACATTGCTCAAGGCTCTTAAGTACTGCTACACGTAAAGCAGATCTTGAGGTTCATCTAGGAAAACACTGCTGTGCTGTCACTAAAGCAATTTCAATTATGGTGCTGTTTAATCCAGTTGCATTTTTCCCCCCAAGTGACAGGTTGCTCCCACAATCCCTCTTTTCACGGGGCATCAAGATTATTTAAGATTACTGTGGGTAATTTTTTCAGCCACTACAGAAAATATTGCATATTGCCTAGTTCCACAGTAATTGTTGAAGACCATCTCAGCTATTCAGGAAGATTGCAAGCAGCTTGGAGCTAAGTCATGAATTCCAGAGTGCCTGGCAAAATTTGGCCTTGGACACGACAAGGCATTACTTGTGAAATAGCAACATCCTCTAGGTATGTTGTAAGGCAGTTGTTTCAGTATTTAGAAGGAAACAGTTTGATTTAGAAACCACAGATCATTTAATAGCCATGTAATAGAACAATCTCAGGATTTATTTTATTATAAATCATGAACATTTCCCTGCAGCAAGAAAATGTGGTAATACTGCGGTAATGGAATAGGAGATGTGGAGCACTCAGTGTCTGCCCCATGTGAGTCTTTCCACGGACATAAGAGGTGCTGGATTCTGTCTGTAAATTCAAACTTAACCTTTGCAGAGCTCAAATTTCTGCAGTGCAGGTGCCAAGAGCCAGGCCACAGGGCAAGGGGCCAAGCCTGGGCAGATGGTTTCAAGGAATTACCCACAACCATGAGGAATGTGTAGGCAATTTTGGACCTGATCCTTAAGGGACAGGGCAGAGATGAAGCAATGCCCCAAACAGTGCTGCCACGTGCAGGGATGTCCCCTGCGGGAATCGGGTGTTGGAGGGAGCGTCCTAGCCCGTTTCCCCAAAACTTGCCCTCTGGGCTTTTGCCTGTGGATAAAGGGTGAAGGTAACAGGCAGTGCCCTGGTGCGGCAGGCTGTGTGTGCAGGGCAGAGAGGCGCTCTGCTGGGCGGGAGGAAGGCTACGGAGATGCCTGGCACTGCGCAGCGCTGCGGGGACACTGCCCCTGCACGCGTGGGTGCCGCACAGCGCTGGGTGCTGCATGTAGCGCACAGATCGGGGTCGCGGGGGCGCTGCGGGTGGGGGGAGCTGCGCGGGGTGTCCAGCGCCGCACGGAACTGCGGGAGGGG